TTACACCTTCTCCCTCCTACTCAATCTGTATTTACGAAGTTTAAAATCATTAGAAATGTTTCCAATAAGCTTCCAAATTCAAACTGAAAGAAGCAAAATGTTAAAAAAAAAACATGTTCAAAAGCACATGTTTAGAGACCAGATATTAGAATGGATGAGACTGACTCTAAGCAATACAGGAAGTATGTTCAGCATCTTAACTGAAATTCATTATGAGTATGATGGGTGTAAATTGAGAACACCAGATTAGTGCACTTATTACAAGAGTTAAATTAATGACTACTTGCAAAACTATTTTTTAAAAACCAAGTAAGCAACATTTGGCAATTTTTAAGGATTTCAAATAGAAACTGAGGCTGCAGCACTTTCTGAGTGTGACAGTATGTAGGAATCCAGATTACCTTCAGTCTCTGCCTGGAGATGGGAAATGATGGAAACCTTATACCTCTGTTGAACAGTTAAAGCTGCTTTCATGGAAAATGAAAAATGTGCCTTCTCACAATATTATTATTGTGTGCCTCAGATTTCCAACATAATTTTATCTAGAAACTGTAATTTGTAATATTGTCTTTGGTATAATCCCACCAGCACTCAGCAAATTCCTCTCATATCTGCTTAGTAAAATAAAAAAAAAAAACTTATTAAATTAATATTCCAGGGAATCTAGAAATGTTGGGAAAAGTCTGCTCCTGGAATTAGTATCCAATTCATATCAACAGTGGGTTTTAAATTGGAATAAAATCATCCCCGCTGTGCAATAAAGGAAGCCAGTAGGGCTTTCAGGGCTAACGATGATACTTCATTGCATATTGCAAACAGATACTGAAGCCTTTTTATCTCTGTCAATAAATCCTTCGGGAGAACTTTAGAATAGCAGGAACCTTGATAATGGCCTGTTATAAAAGAACCTACAGCAAACCCTTCAGCACAGAGCATTGTAATGCACTGAGGACAGTGCATCTGTCACTGCCCTTTCCAGAGAGGAAAAGAGGACAAAGGAAGGGAGGTGGGGAGTGAAAGGCATCTGGGAAAATTTATTGTAAAATTATTGCTGGCCCAGGCTCTGTTCTAGCACTGTAAAGTGGTGTCATGTTCACGTATCCCCAAGAAGTACACGCAGGATTAGGAAGAAAGCCCAAATTATGCCCTGGCATCAGGCTCAGAGCAGTGAAACAGCCCCCGAGCTGCACTTTGCTGCCTCTCCTCACCAGCAATGTCAGCAATCAGCACCAGCAAGACTGGCTCCCATGGCAAGGAACACAATGGCACAGGAACCCTGCCAGATGGGAGGACCATTTGCAGTGCCTGCCAACAGCCGATATCCCAAAGGAGACACTAAACATGACTCCAGGCTCTGCTAGATTAAAAACTGACTCTGAGGAATGCCAACCCTTATCTCCCATCTTCTGTAACACCAGGCACAGCTTCAACAAGTTTTCAAACCACTCGGATGTTGTCCCCATTTTGCTGACACTGCTTTGTTAGCACAGAAGGTGTTTGTGCCCTGTGCCCAGGAGTGCTGAGCAGGCACTGCCCTGTCCCTGTCCCTGTCATGGCCCTGCCGGGTGTGTCACCACAGGCAGGGGACACAGTAACCCCAACAAACACACCTGGCAGCCACAAACTCTTGGCAGGGACCCAGAGCTGCTGTCACCCCCCTGGTGGCACAAGGCTCTGTGGCAATCTCCATGCACAGAATGCCAGCCCTGCCCTGCTGACCCATGGGCAGGACACATCTCACGCTGCTGAGGTTAAACACTTCTAGTTAATCTCTCAGAACCATCAGTGCATCAGTAGCAGGATGGAACCTGAAAATCCTACCAGAATGGGGTGCAATAACTGGTAAACCTGGTATTTCCAGCCTGCAGTCAAAACAAACAGGAGAATGAAATCACAGCTCTTTTTAATTTTTTTTTCTCCTTGTTTTTGTTTTTAAAGCAGCATTCAAAAGGCCTCTTGAAGCCTTGTTTATAAGCAAACCAGTCTCAAAGGCTGGATTTGCATTGGCAGGATTTGCAGCCTGCAAAATAAACCTTTCTAGGTAGTGTTTTCCTTCTGCCTGTGAGGGAGGAATGGTTTCTAGTGTATTTCACCCAGTCCACATCCCTTTTCAGCTCCACTGAAGAAAATGCCTAATTCAACACAGCTGGCCTGCCCAGGGCTCCCTGGGAGCTGCTGCACTCTGGGCATGCACCTGCAACCCTTCCTTTGGGGAGGAATGAATGGGAACACACACTGCCAGCCCACTGCAGGGGAATCACTGCTGCCATTCAGAGCCACGGCAGCGCACAGAAGCTGTTACTCACTTGCAATTTCTTTGGCACAAATCATTCCATTTTGGGGGATACTTTACCTTCTAGCTTAGGGGCTACTACAAAATGCCTTCAAAAAGTGCAAGTGCACTTTTTAATGAACACTAAGATTCCAAACTGAAGGCCAACTTACACTTTGAAAAAAATTCTGTGATCAAGTGATGATCATGGAGTCACAGAATGGTTTGGGCTGGGAGGGATCCTAAAGATGATTTCTTCCAAACCCTCTGCCACGTGCAGGGACACCTTCCAATAGAACTCCCAGAAAAGTGATTTTCAATTACCTATCATTTTTTCCCAATGTCCTGTGTTGTCCATTCTCTTGGGAGCTTTGTGCTACTAATGTTTTGCATCTATGAGTGATTAAGTGAGCTGGACCACCAGCTGTGCTCAACTTTTACCCCACCCGTAACTGCCTATCCTAACAAAGAGCCTCTGATAAGAAGACTGCACTTTGGCTTCTGAAATTTGTTATTAAAATAGGAAAGGCAGAAAAGCTAAAAACTGAAATTTCAATTGAGATGATAGTGACTTTCCATGCTTTTAAAATCCTAATCCTTTTACCACTTCTGCTAAACAAAGCAGAAGTATTTGCTACAATTCATGCACTTCTTTAAGGCTCTTAATTCTTTGCATTTCAGCCAAGCTTCATGTACCACAAAGAAAGGACATTTGTTAATTAAGGCTTGGGATCTTAATTTGCAAGGAAGATTTCAAAGACACAATGAAATTAACCTGAACTCCTTGTAAAAGACATGTCTAAAATTTCCTCTGGTAGATGCAGACATTTGGAAAAAAAATTGTCTTCTTGTACTAGCTAAGTTCAAAGCCACTTCTTTCAGCGCTTCCTCCTGGGTGGAGCACACATCCTCCCAGGAGCTGCTGCCAACACTCTCATTGCTCTGTCATTTTATGATCATAAATCTGTTGTGAAGATAACGTGGTGAAAAGACAGTGAAGCGACTCTGCTGCATTGACCCGGCCACTACGCTGACCACTCACCTCAAGATGCAATTTGCAATCCTACCTGATCCACTCTCTAGAGACTCCTGAGCTTTCACAAGAATAAAGCTTTGAAGTTTCTCCAGCTCCCTTTTGAAAAGAATTTACAGACTTGTGCTCTATGATAGTTCAATACCTGACACTGCACCTTAAGAAAATGTCACAATCCTCAGACTTGAAGAGCCACAATCAAAACCCAAGACATATGGGATACGTGGGATATTTGGGGACTGTCTGAGGAATCAATAGAATCACACTGCCTTAGCAGAAAGTAATGACAATCTTCACTTTGCTTTCAATGCTGGAGATAAAATGCAGTGGGGAAAAAGGAAAGATGCCACTCAGAGGTGCTGCCTGGAGCTCTGCAGAGTCCTGTCCTGCAGCACTCACTGCTGAGGAGCTGCACATCACCTCACAACAATATAGAAAACAGGTTTATCTTTGTGCAAATCTGTGCAGCAAGGTCACTTCGATCTGTTTCAAACAACTGCCTCTATTCTTGTCTGTTCCTGATGTTTATTTTTCACTTTCAGCCTCCTACTGATGTGTCACTAGCAGCACCTGACAGCTTCCAATGCTCTCATTCACCCCTGCATGCTGCCTGAGCACATTTTCCATTCGCTTTTTCCCTCTACCCTCCTGCAGTGACTCAAAAGACTCTAACCAAGCCTGAGGCTCACTGAGCATTGACTGCTCGAGGCTTAATTGCTGTGCAAAACCCAGGCAAACACCAAGTGTTAAATGTCAGCCAACAGCACCAACTCCTTCCTCCCCACCTGCCCTGCCAAGGATGTTATTTTCAAATCTACTAAAAAAGAGCTAATTGATGTATTTTCCTACCCATTCAACTTCACAAGCAGCGATCCTATGAGTTGCATAATTCCAATTGGCCAGAAGCTCCCATAAAGGCATTTTCACACAGACTAAAAGCTAAACCTGAAAGTGTTTACAGCCAAACTTGGGGCTGTAATGCACAGCTCATGTGATGGCACCAAAAAGCTTTAATTGACTGCAATGTTACAACAAATACATGAGGAACCACCAACCTATCAATCCAAACACATCAAAGCACTGCTATCTGAAAAGGAGGCCTGCAATCACTCAAGCCTGAGGGAAAACATGGGAAAACTATCAGTCATAGGCAGAAATACAATTTTGTGATAGTTCTGTGATAAACGATAAGCATTCATTTAGTATAAAAAAAATATTCAGTGCATTAGCTTTTAGCGTCACAGTTTTAATGAAAGCTACTAAACAAATTCCAGGCCCTGCTAGTGTTAAACAGGAAACTCATCATATGCTGCATGCTGTTTCTAATTCCTGTCTGATGAGTTTTACACCACCTACATGATTAGGGCAGGAAGAAATATGAATTTTTTACAACATAACACCCAAAAATGGATCAGGATCAAACCACCATATCTTTCCCCAAGAAGGGAATTGGATTAATCTTCAACAATTTACTATGATTCCTATACATATAATTTTATTTTTTCTTTTTCTCCTGAAGCTGTTAAACTATGAAGACATCACCTTAAACTTGAACATGAACAGTCACCACAAGGACCTTGTTTGTTCACTGGAAGGTCAGTACCAGACCCCTGTCTTACCTTACCTGACACAAGAAGAATATTCCTGGTTCATTCTCAGTGACACTGAGAGGAAGGCAGGAACTGCTGTACTTACTTGTTAAAAAGATTCAGCCCAATCCTATAATGGCGTTTCCTGATAACATCGTTACTGAAGGCAGGGGAATCCCAGCTGTTGCGAGTCTCTTTGTGGTAGGTTTGTTTGCTCAAGGTTTGCTCCCTTAGGCTGTCCCTAGAAGAGGATTCTGAGCTGCAATTTATTGTATCATTGGAGTTGGAAGTGCTGTTGATGCTGTCATTATCTCCATCAGAGTAATCAGACTCTGATTTGCTTTGCCTGTTTGCTGTGCCATTGATGGCCAAGTGACTGTCTATGGGCCTAGCCCTGTGCCTGGCCTCCTGCTCCTCCCGGGTGATGATCTTGGCAGGAATGCTGTGCGGGATATGTTTAGGGCTGCCTTGCTGGCTGGTGATGCCTCGGTCATACGCATTCTGTCTCTTTAACGAGCCCCTCTCCGAGCGATCGCTCAAGTCCACGGAACTGTCACTGGGCGGCTCGATAGTGAGCAGGGGGAGGTGATCCATCCTCATCCTCTGCTCCTGACATTCCAGTGATGGGGTACTCCTGCAGCTCGTGTCAGTGTCTATCTTATCATCTTTGTGGGTCATGGACCAGTACTCTTGGGAAGAGTTCACGGAGCGGAGCCTCAAGTCCGACTCCGTGCTGGACGGCCTGTCCACGGACTGGGAGAGTGGCAGGGGTGGGGACAGCTCCTCCTCGTCGATGTACAATGTGACATCACTGTAGGACGCTGTCATCTCGTCCAGCTTCCTGTGATCCACATTGTGGATCGCTGGTTTGCTCGGGGCACAGCTCTCCCTCTCCATCTCCCGGCTCCTGACCTGCTCCGCACTCTGGATTTCATCCGAATGCAGACTGCGGCAGTTCAGCGCGTCATCGATGGATTCCGCCAGGGATTTTACCTGCCTGGAAAAAGCATCCTCCAGTTCTGTTATAGCATCACTGAAATCAGTGGACGCTGCCGGGGACTTCATGGTAGCTGTCTCCCCGAGCTCATTGCACTCTGACGGTACCAGGGAGCCCAGCTTTGACCCATCGTTTGTAACAGAGACCTGCTTCCCCTCGAAGTAGGAGCTGTGGACTTTCTCAGGTCCTTCAAAGGAAAACTGCATTCTCATATTGGAGAGGACGATGCGCCTTGACATGCGGTTCTCGGACATAGAACTGCGCAGGCGCTCGAAGTTCTTGTTCATCTGATACTGGCGGAAGGCGGTCTGGATGGTGCGGGCGGCATGTCTGGTGATCAGACGGCCCCCATACTTCCGTTCTAGCATCTCCACCTGCCAGGGAACACACGCACCCCTCGTCACTCTGTGCAGCTCAGGACAAGGGTAAAGTCTCACAAAACACTTAAGTCTCATAACCACTTTATTATACTTTATATGTATTGGTTTTGAAAGTAAAAACTCAAAACTCCAATGATGAACGGAATAGTAATCTGTGCAGCTCAGGACAAATGTCTCACAAAACATTTAACTCTCATAACCACTTTATTATACTTTATGTGTATTGGTTTTGAAAGTAAAAACTCAAAACTCCAATGATGAACGGAATAGTAATCTGTAAATTCCACCATAAAATACAAAATATATTAATTCACCTCACAGATATAAGAGAGTATCAGTTGCAATAAGTTCTTCCTTCCTTTCTGTGACAACAAAAACACCTGGGTTTCAAAATGACTCATTTTCTTAGAAAAATATTTTGCATGATTACATTCTAGTACGCTCCTGGAGCATAAAAGCTCAGTTCCAAAACCGTTTTTTTTCTTTAACAGTATTAACTGTTAAAACTACTAAATCTCAATTAAACTGTTAATATATTTTACACTTTTCTGTAGGAGGTGGGGAAAGTGTATGGGACAAAGAATAACGGAGTTAAAGGTCCCAACTGAAGTGATGCTAGAAAAGACATCTCCCAATTCACAGACACAAACGAGGTACTAGAGCTCAAATACCTGCTTATCCTGTAGGTCTGAAGAGAGTTCATAGCTCTCGGAAAGCGATCTGGACCGTTTGATGGCTTCCTCCTCGGCCTGCTTGCGCAGGATGGAGGTGGAGTGCTGGAGCTTGGGCCGGCGGGCTCGCTGCTGGCCGGGCGCGATGGAGTAGAGCCCGTAGGGGTGCTCGTAGTGCTCGGGGCTCAGGGCGGAGCTGTGCGTTATAGGGCCCTGCGGGTAGCCCGAGGGGCTATCCAGCGACGTGCCGGTCTCGCTGCTGGGAGCCTCCCCCTCAACGCTGCACAACACAAGAGAGACAGCAGAAGCCTCGGGTGAGCCCAGCACACCAAAAGTCTCCACAGCAAACAGCACAGTTCTGCTTTAGTTTCATTTTGTGTAGGCATCTAGCAAGTTTTGTTGTTCGCATGCAGGTGTCACAGGGGAACGTGGCTTTTTTTCATGACAAACACCTCAGGTTTTGCTGCAGGTTTTGCTGCAGTTTTTGCTGCAGTTTTTGCAAGTGTCAATCTGCCATGCCCGTGACATCTTTAGAGCATGAGTCAAACGGGAGAATGGAGGTTTCAAGCATTATTTAACTTTATACACTAATTACTAATAACATCCTGAGTAAGTCACTCAAGAATGACTCTGTAAAATGATTGAAAACTTCTAATTTCTTATAACCTGCTTATTTCCAAGCTTCTTCATTCAAAATGACAGATGCTTATTTATGTCTTTCTTTGCTTTGACCAATTAAAACAATATTTTCCTAGCCTTATATTACAATTTGACATATAAGGATTAGTTTCATGGAGGTAGGGATTTAATGGATCTTGAGAGCTATGATGTTCCTAAAAACTAAAGTTGGGAAAAAGTACTTGCAAGAGAAATCTCATTTATTTCCCTGCTAGTGAAAGACTGCTCCCATGGGATACTTTTGGCAGGTTTTGGAGTAGGAGCATCCCAAGGGACAGTGTTTCTAGCTAATGAAAGCAACATGGTTTCAGGTGAAAAAAAGCTCACTAGCACCTATCTAGCAAAAGACTACTTTGTTTTCACACAAATGCTGTTATTGCTATGGAATAAAGGAAAGGAAAAACACCTTTTCTATTAAAAGGGCTGCACACAATAGGAAACATTTTAAAAGCCAGCCCTAGGTGTATTCTGAAATACTGATGACTAATAGCAATTTGTATTTGGGTTGTATTTGCAGGAGTGCACTCTCACATTGCAACACATGCACTTTCACTCTTCCATCTTTTCATGTTTCACAGCACTACTTACTGTCTGTCTCATCCTGCGTACACAAAGCATTGACAGAAAAATGATTTTTTTTTTTAATTCCTCAAAAGACTCAGTAAACACTTCACACATGCACCAATACAAGCAGCACTTTTTTGTTTTAGGAACGATACATCCGAACTCCAAAGAAGTAAAACCCCACCTTCCCACCATGCCCGGTATTTTTTTCCTTCGTTCACATGTACTTAAAAACCAAAGTCCTCCTGTTGTCTCTCAGCTGTCCCTTCAAAAAGTACAGAGCAATTCCTGAAAGAATGTTCTCCACTGACTGAAGAGCTGAGGGTTAACCCTGGCCAAACTCTCCCAGCTTGAACAGTTTGTACTTTTTAAAGGGAAGGAGAAAAAAAAAGCCCCTTAGATTTCTTAAAATGCTTCTATAAACATGCAAAACTGAAAGCAAGTCCTCTCTCTTTGCCCATCAAAATATGACTCCAACCAAAAGGTATTTTCAAACATACTTAACCCAAGGTGGAAATATTTGCAGTGTGCACACATTGCTTTTTCCAAAAAGGAAGCTGACAGGAAACTAATCCCTTTCCCTCTGTGATATAGCTGGCTTTCAACTTAAAAATGACAAACTATCCAGACTTCTGCCGATGACATTGAAACTGTGTAACCACTGCTAAAAACAAACAGGTCATTCTCTCTGAAGCATCCATTAAAGACATGATATGATACTGAGCTGCTTCATGTTCTCTCTTTAAACACTGAAATTCCTTCCTCTGTTCTGCCAGCTGTGCACTGTGCTATTTTGGACATCACATCCTAGCTGCAAGTTTATTTGTAAGTACTTTCCATACAAGCATGGCAAATTTGTTTTTAACAGGAAGGCTGGAATTATCTTCTTAGGTTCTGTTGACGTGTTCTGCCTTCCTCACCCTTGCATTGTGAACTATTTAATAACCCTTCCATGCTGATTATAACCTCCTGTTGACATTTTAATAACGCTGCCTTCGATGGATCCCTCAAACTTTTTCACAACAAAAAGGGTACTGCCCTAATCACAGGAAGTTGGATATCTTACCAAGAGCTCTGACCAAGGATATCTGCCAAGAGTTCTGACTAAAGTTAAGTGTTTCTTCTTCATTTTCACTTTGCCTTTTGTACTTTTTCCAGATATAAATGTGATGCTTGACTGACTCTAATGCTTGATCTCATTTTGTTCATGGGCCTATTCCCTGCCACCTGACCTTTGAAGCATGGAAGTAATTGCCTTTTACAACAGGCACAACAACAGCCCTTCCAGCAAACACACGTGCACAGCCTTTAAGGCTTTCCCCCATTCAGCTCTTCCTGGCCTCTCAGGAGCAGCTGAAGCTCCATATGAATTATTTCATTAAAGTGAAACTTCACTGGCAGAGAAAAGCAGCTTGCTTTCTACTTCTTCTACTTTACATATGTTTGGAGAAGAAAAATATGTCAACAAATATGACTCGTGTGAAGCTGCAAGGATGGCAAGTTGGATTGCTCCACTGAGGGAGCAGCACAGAGCTGGCAGCAGGGCTCCCTGAGCCAAGTCCCAGCGCTCCCCAGCAGGCTGGGTCACTGCAGGTTATCAAACATGAAACACCCCTGTAAGAAGGAGTTTGGGGAACTCCAGATGTGCCAGCCTGACCTCAGTGCTGGGCAGGTCATGGAGCAGGTCACCCTGCAGATCAGGTCTGGCCAGCCTGGGGCTGGGAAAGGCAGGTCCTGCCTGACCAACCTGCTCTCCTCCTGTGACAAGGTGACCTGCTTTAGTGGTGAGGGACAGGCTGTGGATGGCACCTGCTGGGACCTCAGCAAAGCCTTTGGCACTGCTCCTCTCAGCCTTCTCCTGGAGAAACTGGCTGCTCTGGACAGGTGCTCTGTTCCCTGGGTGGGACAGTTTAAAATCCGTGTGGATGTGGCACCTGGGGACACGGGGCAGGGGTGGCCTTGGCAGTGCTGGGGAATGGCTGGACTCAGTGGCTTGAGAGAGCTTCTCCAACCCAACAATTCTGTAACACAGACTCAGAACACGAGCCAGTCACTACAGGGTTATGGGGGTGGTTTTTATCTATGCACTTACTAAAACTGCCAACACACAAAAATGTCAAGGACTCTGCTCCAGGCTTGCAGCAAGAACCAGGAGAATTCTCCCTGGGACTGAGTAGCTGAGACACCTCTCCAGCACTGCTTCACTTCCACACCCTGCACACACTGCCTCTCTCTGATGGGTGAGAAATTAAGTATATTAAGCACACTACAAAAATGGACAATGTAATACTGTTAATTATTATTACTTATGCTTTTATTATATATGCATACATATATATTGTATTAAATAAATGTTAATTAAAAGTCCCAACTGGAATTATGAATAGCTTTTTAATAAAGGTCTCCAATTTGAGGCATCTGCAACCTACCAGACATGTCCAGTACAATTACTGATAATTTCATTGTTTAAAAAAAATTCTAGTGGATTAATTTGGTTTATCTCCCTGCAATGTGCAACTGCATATTACTAGTGAGCACAGCAATCTGTTGAATATTCTAATTGTGTATTATTAGGAGAATGCAAAACAGCTGAAATTGACCTATAAGTCCAACTGTTTTATTGCACACCTGTTTCAGCAAAAAATAGACACTCATTATCTGTCAAGCCAGAAAAAGTGAAAGGTTGCTTGCAAGTATTTTACAAAGAAGCAGACAATGGAACAGCTAAAGAATGAAAATGAAATATTTTAAAATAATTAGTATTACTAATATGACTTTGCATGAAAAAAAAATAGAGCCATTGAAAAACTTTATGCAACTAAATAACTTTTGGAAACAGTTGACAGCATTGACTGAATCAGCATTTTTATCAAAAATTTCTTCCTCTATAAACCTCAGCTTATAATGCCGTTAAAAAAATCCAGGCTGACAAAAAGGAGAGGAGCTGCTGTTGCTAGGAAAAGATCCTGATTTTACAGTAATTTCCCACTATTCAGGGATGAGTTCCTTTCAAGAACTACCTAATAAGAAGAAGCTCTGTCTCCTCTCTCCCTCTCCAGTTGTGTGGTTAGCCATGACATAAGCAAAACATTTCCTCTCCAGGCACTTTAGCAGGACAAGCCTGGCAGGTCTTTTCTTCCCTGGCTCTCATTTTACACTTTCAATTGTTACTTCTAATCACAAAGGCTGTAATTAGCACCAATATGCTAAATCCACTACCATATTTTAAAACAATAACATATTATTCAGGATGTTTGTCTATCTACTATCATTCCTCATTTTTAATTTTTATATTCACACCTTCATTTTCCTTCAAATCTTGCCAAACTATTAGCAAAGAAAAAAAATCCACAATAAAGACAAAATTTTGAAAATAAGAGAACTTCCAACATTTGAGCTTAAAATGGAAATTTTAAAAAAGACCTGAATTCCAGTAAGGAGCGAACCGCAAGCTTTTCCATGAGCATGGATTTATCTGTTCCACTGACTAATGGCAAAATGACCAGAGGAGCTGCTGCTTTGGATGCAGAGGCACAAGAATTTATCTGTCAGAGAATTTATACTATGAAACACAGAGAACTGAAAACCAGAAAAGCAGAAAGTCCCTTTCCTCCTGAGGCCCAGAACCGTATCTTTAGAACTACATGCATATAAAAAGGAAGTATAGAACAATACCATCACATGCAAGGAATGATTCAGTGCTGCCTCTTGCCCCAGAAACCCCCCAGTTTACAAGCAGTCAAGTGTCCCTGTGCATTTTTAGAAATAAAATATGAAGATAATGGGAACATATGCTTACAGAAATCACCCAAATGTTCAAACCAGTTTGCTGCAGATTCAGTTTGGAACAAAGAAATGAAACATGTTTCTAAATAATGCAAATGCCAAACCCAAACTGCATGCAACATTCTAAAATAGAACCAAGAAGATCCTCCCAGCAGAACAGAGCAAATGCTTGAGAAGCTGTTTTACAATGAGCATTCTCTGAAATCAGAATTATTTTCATCACTCTTTCAGAATGGACTTTCAACAGTGTAA